TTTTACAGTTGGTTATTCAGAATAAAGGGTAGGAATTTTATGATTTTAGCATGTTTCAGTTTTAAAAGAAATTATCAGAATTTAAAATTTCTGAAAGCTGTAAGAAAATAAATCAGATTTTTCAGTAAATATGTACAAATGGAAAAATTATATATATTTGCAAATTATCCGCTCACTGAATTACAAGCTCATATATTTTGTCACATTTTTCTTTATCAGATAGTAGCTGAGTTGAGCAGCATTGGAGACTGTCGATCCATCGATTTAAGCCACGCATTGTCATTAGTTGTAATACTCATTTTGTTAGTCTATTTAGCTCATATTTCTTTTGGGATCCACGTATATTTTACCAGGGAAGTTAATTTGTAAATCCATATCATGGGCTCGCTGCATTTTGAGTATTCTGAGTACATTATGAGACTTTGATGGTAAATAATAGTAAATGTTATTTGGAATAGTTTGAGTTTTAAGGGGCTGATGTACCATGTTTTAAGTTATATGTACGTATTTGAGGTAATTGATTATATTTCAGGCGATTTTAGTCCATATTACAAGAGGAACTTTGTCAAAATTTTTATAAAGATATGTCATAGTCAAAGCAGGTCAGTGTTGTGTTGGTGGTAAGACTGACGTTGAGCTGGTATCTATCACCGGCGCACGACACGTGTCGGGTCTATTAAGATGATCTGAATGGGTCGTGTCACATACAGTAACGTTAATTAATAATTATGAAATGAAGGTTGATGCCTTCCCATATAATCAACACGCGCACAGACTTTCATTAATGGAAACACGTGCCTTGTTCGACAAAATATGGGCTTCGACACATGTTAAGCACCAACATCATGTCTTTCTCCACTTTCCTAACTCAATTTAGTGCACACGACATGTCATTACGATAACCACTGAGGTAACTGCACTCAAAAATCACTTAAAATAAGTAACAGGATAGTGAAACTTAACCACTTTCAATAGAAAAATATGGACACTTTTTTCTCAAGACTGGATAATTCTAAAGAAATATTTATTTATTTAATCTTATTCTAATGAATCTTCAAGCATAAATTTTCGTGAATCACCATTTGCCTCGAGTAGAATGAGTACATTGCAGCAAGTGAACAAATTTCAGATTACGAGTTCCCGAAATGAGTTTAGGGCAAAGGCAACACCTTTCTATCTGAGATTTGACCACGACGATCTAGTAGAAAATGAAACAAGTCCATTTTTATGGTACGGAAGGAATATCTTTTAATTCACATGCAGACAATCTAATCCATAGAGCTGTCATTAAATTTTCAGAAAATATAAAGCAGGATAGGTGTAAAGCCTTTACTTCAAAGCATGCGTATGATTTAGGTATATTTCTATCTTAAAGTTACCTGCGTGTTACTAAACTTAAAAGTCACCTTATTCCACCAAGAAACAGTACTGTCAGAAATTTCTAAACCATGGAAGAGCTCATATTGCGAAAGAGCATTTCTTTGTCCACTGTAATTGAAAAATGCATCTTCTTTATTTTGATATGCATGGTGAATTGTAGCCCTCCAGAAGATCCTGTGAAGTGTACAGTCAATAACTCTAATTGCACCATTACCAATACCTATGGTGCATTCCCCGACAGAAGCATATGTCGTGCGGCAAAGGTTGTCTATCCTACGACAGAAGAAGAGCTTATATTGGCAGTTGCAAATGCGACGATGGCCAAGACAAAAATGAAAGTAGCAACTCGCACCTCACATAGTATTCCTAAGTTGGTCTGTCCCGAAGGCAATAATGGACTTCTGATAAGCACCAAGTACCTGAATCGAACGTTAGACGTTAATGTCTCGAGCATGACGATGACTGTTGAGAGTGGGATGACACTCAGGCAGCTGATCAATGAGGCTGCAAAGACGAAACTGGCTTTGCCTTACGCACCATATTGGTGGGGTCTGACCATCGGTGGAATGATGGGAACAGGTACTATTAGAAAGGGATCAGTTGTTTACTTCAATTTTTTAATTAAGTGAATGCATTTTTTCCATCAAAGCCTCTGACATATGCATAATCTTTCATAGATGAGAGACGGGCGAG